TTTATGCATATATACATATAAACATTGATCTAATATATATTATTCAGTATTAATCATTATTTATTTGTGTTTGTATATTTATTTAAAAATGTATTACTATTACTAAATAATTTATTAAATAAATTATGAACGGTGGTGTGTTTTGTAAAATGCTCATCGTGCATCAATATCAGAATATTCCATTCCTGTTCTATTGTTTTCCCCTCTAAGCWTATTTAAATATGCTGAACTATGGATCAATGGAAATAAAAAATATTTCAAAAATACAATTGTTTATYAATGTAGCTTTGATAGATGTTTGAATATGGTTTCCAGCAACAAAAAGGCGTATGATCGATTACATGCGCGGATGTCTCATTGTGCCTGGCAGACACATGACGCTGAGTGGAGCAGTGGACCGCTCCAAGATGGCCACCCTAAATCTTGTCAGCAACAATAGGCGAGAACGGTCCATGAGGCATCCATCCTTATATTATGTCTATGGTTGTACCTGCCCGTTCATTCTAAATAAGACCTAGTTTGAATAGAATTTCTTCCAGGTTAAAATTAAAATATTTATATTCCTAGGTTAGCAACTTATAATTTAAATGAAATTCACAGTTTCACCATGAACAGGTGTTCATTGACCTTGGATGACCTCTAGAAACTTTTCTTTTAATATCTTCAAAGTCAAAGCAGCACAAACAAAAAAATTTTGCTGCACAAACCAGCACAAATGTAGCACAAACGTTTGACACCAATTTTGTTTGATTTCATAAAAGTGGGGGGGCTGGTTGACCTTTTGACCTTTACATTTTCATTAATATCTTCAAAGCCAAAGCAGTACAAACGAAAATTTTTGCTGCACAAACCAGCACAAACGTAGCCGAGTTGATTGACACCCATTTTGTCTGATTTGAAGAAGGTGGGGGGGCTGGTTGACCTTGGATGACCTCTAGAAACATTTCTTTATATCTCTAAAATGATAGTGGCACAAACGAAATTTTTTTGCTGCACAAACCAGCACAAACATAGCACAAATGTTTGACACCAATTTTGTTTGATTTCATAAAAGTGGGGGGGCTGGTTGACCTTTTGACATTTACATTTTCATTAATATCTTCAAAGCCAAAGCAGCACAAATGAAAATTTTTGCTGCACAAACCAGCACAAACGTAGCCGAGTTGATTGACACCCATTTTGTCTGATTTGAAGAAGGTGGGGGGGCTGGTTGACCTTGGATGACCTCTAGAAACATTTCTTTATATCTCTTAAATGATAGTGGCACAAACGAAAATTTTTGCTGCACAAACCAGCACAAACATAGCCGAGTTGATTGACACCCATTTTGTCTGATTTGAAAAAGGTGGGGGGGCTGGTTGACCTTGGATGACCTCTAGAAACATTTATTTATACCGTATCTCTAAAATGATAGCGGCACAAATGAAAATTTTTGCTGCACAAACCAGCACAAACGTAGCCGAGTTGATTGACACCCATTTTGTCTGATTTGAAGAAGGTGGGGGGGCTGGTTGACCTTGGATGACCTCTAGAAACATTTCTTTATATCTCTTAAATGATAGCGGCACAAACAAAAATTTTTGCTGCACAAACCAGCACAAACATAGCCGAGTTGATTGACACCCATTTTGTCTGATTTGAAGAAGGTGGGGGGGCTGGTTGACCTTGGATGACCTCTAGAAACATTTATTTATATCTCTTAAATGATAGCGGCACAAACAAAAATTTTTGCTGCACAAACCAGCACAAACATAGCCGAGTTGATTGACACCCATTTTGTCTGATTTGAAGAAGGTGGGGGGGCTGGTTGACCTTGGATGACCTCTAGAAACATTTCTTTATATCTCTTAAATGATAGCGGCACAAACAAAAATTTTTGCTGCACAAACCAGCACAAACATAGCCGAGTTGATTGACACCCATTTTGTCTGATTTGAAGAAGGTGGGGGGGCTGGTTGACCTTGGATGACCTCTAGAAACATTTCTTTATATCTCTTAAATGATAGCGGCACAAACAAAAATTTTTGCTGCACAAACCAGCACAAACATAGCCGAGTTGATTGACACCCATTTTGTCTGATTTGAAGAAGGTGGGGGGGCTGGTTGACCTTGGATGACCTCTAGAAACATTTCTTTATATCTCTTAAATGATAGCGGCACAAACAAAAATTTTTGCTGCACAAACCAGCACACCACCTCTCCTTGGGCTGCTACCTTATCGTGGTGGAG